AAGATATTTTAAATTTTAAAAAGAAATTTAAACTTATTTTAATAAGTAACTTTAATTAAAAAATTGAATATAATGAATATAATGATAATATTAAAAAAATTTAATCTTTAAAACTAATAATTTTTTAAAATTAGTCAGAACTAATTAGAACCAATTAAGATTTTTACCAACCCTACCCTCCTCTTATTAATGAGATTTATATTATTGAAGAATGAATAGAAAAAGGCAAGTCAGTATTAGATCTTACGCCACTCTATTTGTTTGCTGACTTTAGTACTATACTGCAGAACAGATATTATGGAAACTAGAATCTTTTTTAAATAATCAAATGTAATATTGATAATAAAAAAATTTTTATTATATGCTAATAAAAAAATAACAATTTATACATTTCTTATAATAATATTTATCTAATATAAATGCTTGTTATATAACATCGCCGATCGGTCGATCACGTGACCGAACATGACCCTATATTTGGGCAAAATAGCGTTCAATTTAATTAACTCTAATTAGGCTATGAACGACGAAATATTTCAAATTTATGCTTTTCATTCATATTAGGCAATTATAACAAAGCTAATATTTCGAATTTATGCTTTTTATTGTCATGGATGTCATTTACTCTTTCTCGACTATTTCTTTCCTCACTCCTGATAATAACATTAATTTATTCATCCAACAAAAAATTAAACTTTTTCTAGTGTTGCATCGGGCGAAGCGAAGCGGTTTTTGTTCGAGTTTAACATATGCGAAGTAATTCCTGTTTTACACAACCTCTTTTTTACCCCGCCTTGCTTGGTTGGCTGATGCAAATAAGAACTTTATTGTTTCATAATCTTAAAGCTCTCATTATGAAGAAGAAAAAAAGTAAATTATAAATTAATTACTTGTATACAAAAAATCAAAACACACAAATTTTTTTTTTTTGCTCAAACCGGAAATATTTCAAATATATTACAAAAAAATTCTGCGAACAAAAAATTTCTTACTGTTTGGTGATCAAATGATGAAATGATAATTGGTTTCAACAGTATAAATAAAAAATTTTTTTTTATAGAAAATTTTTTATTTACAATTTACAAAGAATGAGTGAAAATATTTTTTTTTATTATTTATTACTGGAATCTCCACATTTAAGCACGTCTTTATTCGTAAAACAAACAAATGAATTGAAACCTTTTTTTTTTTTATGAAAGACTTATTTATAAAGTAATATAATTATTTGGTAAAGCATGATATTTAAAAATCGATTAATTAATAAACACTATGAAAATTTCAGGATTATATGAATAATTTCACTTTCTTTATTTTAGAGAAGTTTTGAATGTATTTTTAAATTTACGAAATAATATTTAATTTTTTTTTTCGTCTATTTCAAAAAAAAAAAATACTATTTATTGTATAGCGAATTAGCTTAGCATCAACGGTCCAATGGGATCGATCCAATGAGATCTCAGCTTCAAATAAATCACGTTCAAGAACAATTTATATCATGTGCCATAAAATGGTTGGCTTGTGACATCAATTATTGACCTTTGGCAAAACTTTAATTTCATGATTATCATAATTTAATTCTGGTCAAAATTGAATGGAAATCGAAAATATTTTACGGGTCCCTAGGTTACGAGTCATATGTGTTATGATATCAAACAAAACAATCATTGAAAGAGTGTGCTACATTGCCATTGCATGAAATTGCTCAACATTTGGGGCAGTTGGCAAAAAAAGTCCCTATTAAGGGACACTAAGTCCTATACTGAGTTCGACCTGAGTCATTTTGTTGGTTACTCAGGACATTTATAGTATTACTTTTGATCATCTGTTCATTTTATTATATTAAATTTTTGAATATTACGCGTTGTTCAATTAATGTAAAAAAAATATAAGTTTCTAATCTGTCTCTAATTATATAAAAAGCAGTAGTGACTCAATGTCTTTAATATTTTACTTTTACGCCTTTTGCTTTCGCTCACCACGAAAAGTCTCTAAGTTCAACAATAAGTTTCAATACATTCACAACTTGACAGTAGAAAAAAACACTTTAAACAACTGAAATAATAATGAGTACAAATAATAATAACCAACCACCTACTTTCTCATCTACCGGCAATAACAATCCGAATTTTCAACACAATGATAACGGCGCAAATACGGCTGCGCATTCTGCGCCTCATGTTACTGCACATCCCGCACCTCACTTCACCGTCTTTGAATGTTATTTGCCTTCTAATGACGGTCGGATCTATTATGTTTGTTATACCGAATTAAGTCCAAATGAAATCACTCGACGATTAAATAATGGAATTGATTTATCTCATGTTCCTGAGCACCATATTCCACATCATAATCGTATGCAATCATTGATACAACAACAGATTCAAGATCAACATTCTGTAGCTTATCAACAAAATAACGGTCAACATAACACTCAACAACCTGACGTAGTTATTTCTGGCAATATGCAAGACATACAAATCGCACCTACTCAAAATTTTAATTAGGTTCGGCAATCATATATTGAATTTGTTGTTTCAATATCAAAAATATTAGATTATTGACAAGTGTTTAAATTTTTGTAATTTTTATTAGAATATTAACTTTTAAGAATTAGCTTTTTGATTTTTTAAACTCAAAGTTTGAAAATTTATCATTTGTTGGCTAAAATTACACAAATTATCAAATAAAATTGGAAAAAAATTTTTTTGTATGTGATACAAGCAAAGATCTTGTTTTATTTATATCAGTAACAATCCCATAATTTTTTCAAATCAAAAATAAGAGTCCCTTATAAACTTAGCAGCATGTATAATAGTGTCGGTCAATTTGGCAGTTGACTGTAACTCTGCTTCTGGAGGATAGAGTGGTGGAATAATCCTCATTCAGAATCACAATTCTTAACGCCCCACGTTGATAGTAGTGTCTCACTTGAACTTAGTGTGAACATTCTGGCTTGAATGTAAATTCTGGGCCAGGAGGTTCTTAAATAGCAAGGAATTTGCCCGAGGCTGGAAACAGAGCAGGGAAAACTTGCAGCACCGAGTGGCAGTGAGGTAGCACACTTGAGTGATTGGTTGTTAAAATTGCTGGGTGAGCTGGTTGGACTGCTATTCGCCAAAAATCCCTTTTGTTTTTTTTTCATTATATTCATCTTCACTGGATATTTTTTAAATTTTTTTTTTGCAAGATTATTTTAAACATAGTATGAATTATTTGTATTATTTGTACATTTAAGAATTTTTGTTATTGCCATTTTTTTGTAAGTTGTTTTTCTCCAAAGTACATCGTGTGACGTTACATCTGCACGTGACTTATATTCCAATAAAACCCCCCAAAAACGCGTCCCTCCATATCTTTTTTTTAATAAAAGTGAAATTATGATTCACTCTCTAGATACTTCAACTGTACGGCGTATTTCAAGTGGACAAGTGATTACGAAAGTAGAAGATGTCGTTAAAGAACTTATCGAGTAAATTTCAAGTTTCATATATATATCTCACTTATCCATTACACGCTTTAAAAAATTTTTTTATTTAAAAAGGAATTCGATCGACGCTGAATCAACTTCAATCGAAGTCAAATTAGTTGGCGATGGATTAACTTCCATCACCGTATGTTTTGTAATAATTGAATTATTGCAAGTTTTTACAATGTTATTAATGGGTTCCTGTTTCGTATTTAACTTATGTTTTGCAAGGTTAAAGATAATGGTGTGGGAATTCTAGAATGCGATAGACCAGCTATGGCATTGAGAAATCATACTTCAAAGCTTTACGACTTTGAAGGCTTAAGTAGAGTGGAAACTTATGGTTTTCGAGGTACAACAAAATTTAATTCATTCATAAATCTGCATTATGTCTGTACTTTGTTATTTTTATCTTTTATTTTGGTTTTATTTTATAAAGGCGAGGCTCTTAATTCAATTTGTTCTGTAACCGAGTCAACACAAATAACTACAAAGACCGAAAATGATCCGGTTGCAATTCTTTACATGCTTGATCATTCTGGAAAGATATTGCAGTATGTAACTAACAATAAAAAGTTCTTAATGATTTTCGGTTAAAGGTTCAAAGATTTAATTTATTTCTAAAGTGCAAAATCTTCAGGATCGAGTCCTGGAACCACAGTTACAGCTATAAAACTATTTTCAAACGTTCCGGTTCGAAGACAAGTAGCAAAAAAAATTTCTTCCTCGATTGGAAAAAACGTTCAAAATCTTTTAATCACCTATGCGTTAGCACATCCACATATAAGATTTTCGTTAAAACATACTTATGAGAATAATTCAAAATTAAAATTTAATGAGGGTAATTGGATACAACCTGCAATGAAAAATACAATGGATGCTGTAATAAAGCTCTTCGGTAATGAATTGGCTAATGAAGTTCAATTTGGTGTATGGAGTTCAAAATCCGAAGATATTGAAAACGGTGGGAATGATAATAATACGGAGGAACAATATATTATTACTCTTGAAGCCATTTTACCAAATCCTGATGCTGTTCCACACATAATTTTCAAGAATGGAAAAACTTTTATTTATGTAAATAATCGTCCAGTGACAACAGTCAGAGGGGAAATAAAGAATCTCGTGTCGATGGTGAAATCCGTATATAATGTAATAGCATGTCATAATGGATGGACAGGTAATAATGATGATTCTTGATAATGTTTCAATCAGAATATATTTATATACTAAAATTCATAACTTAGGGAACACGAAGACGCCTTTTATGTGGATAAACATCAAGTTACCAACTTGGGTTTATGATGGTAATTATTTGATAACATCTGTTAATTTTTAGATCACTTATCGAATGTTTCGGCTATTTTACAGTAAATGTTGAACCAAACAAGAACGTCGCGCTCTTTCATCATGGAGAACGTTTAATTGAGGCCGTTAGTAACTTGTTGGAAATGTTCTATGATCTAAATAATCAGCGAGAAGTGCAGAATACGGACATTAATATGGAAGTGGATCAACCGATCGAACCAATGCTTGATGAGGATAACATAAATAGGTAAATTAATCCTGAATTTTTTATTTATTTCTTAGAGAAATTTTTTAATGCTGACTAATTATTACACATTTGAGCAACGGAAATATTTTCGTTGAAGAAATGGTTATGGATTCATTAGATAGAATGATTCAAGAAAGTTGTACTCCACCTTCGACATCCGAATTTTACAATATACGTTCATCTAAAAGAGATAATCAAGTGTCGAGTTCGCCTTCACATTCTGAATCATCTTATAGACATAGCCAACGTGTATCTGGAACCACCACACCAATTCACGATCGTGAAATTGATGCTTCGCGAATGAAAAAGATATCATCTAATATAAGTAATGATATAAGACATTATGTGAGGAAAGAAATTCATCCAGCTAAAGTTGATAAAAGTAAACTAAAAATGTATGATGACGATGAATCTAGGGAAAGGCATAATTTTACAAAGAGATCTAAACGAGATCAATATAACAACTCGAACTATAAAGATGGAAATATTGATCACTGGTTAAAGAATTGTCAAACGCAGAATGTTGAAGTACCATATACTCCAACTGACCTTGAATCACAAATAACTAGTCCCGTTAACCATGATGAACAAGGAAGGAATATCAGGTCAAGTGACGTATCACGAAATAATAACACTGATTCGCTATCTCATAGCATTTTTGAAAATTCATTAATGTTAAGAGATGGTTTCAATCAATCTCCGTCTCAAGACTATAATAACCGGAGGAAAGAAGATCATTTATTAACACCTCCAAATGATAAATCTGCAGCAATGCAGAAAGAAAGTCTAGATATTCAAGATATGAACAATCTTTATGGCCATCTTCATAAAAATAAAGGAATGCAATCAGAAAATGATTCTGATCTTGTGGATGGTTTGATGGATAAAAGAAACAGTAATGAACGACTTGTTGATGATGACATTGCAGAGGTCATGTGCAAACGTCCAAGAATTGATGATAATATAGAAGGTGCTCTTGTTTCCGAGGCGCCTAGAAACGATTTAAATGAATTTGAAGATCGTGATTTCACAGAACCATCCTCGTTAAATAAAGATAAAATTATACATTCCGAATCTGAAATCGAAATTAATTCTAATCAGTTGCATAACGATCCCATTGGATCATTATCAACATTAACAAACAATCAACAATTGCAAGGAAAGGAGAATGGCGTTCGGACTATTGCAATAGGACAACCCACAATCGATGATTTAATTAAATCTGGCGCGATAAATCTTTCACCTGGTACAAATAATAATAATAATAATAATAATAATAGTAATGTGGCCTCAGGACAACATCTTAAGAAAAAACCAACAAATGATAACCGTCTTGCCCTTTCTCTGACCGATGTTCTTGATCAAGAATTGAAATTGAAGTTTGATAAACCAAGAGTCCTTCGAAGAAATAGGTCAACTTCTAAACTCAATCAAATTGGGTATTCTTTATCCTATTTTAACAAATTAGATTATGGAATGTGGGTTGTAACAAGGAAATTTAACGAAAAGGTCGTGGATATTTTTATAGTTCATGGAGAAAGGTTTGACTGTTTATTGTGACCTCTATTACTTCCCTTTCGAATTTTTTTATTTAGTTCTAACTAGTTTATTTGACTCCAGAATACGCGAATTGGTCACATTAGATACATTAATAACTTCTACAGAATTAAATCCAACTAGGAAATTGCTTAATCCTATTGACGTGACAATAGAGTAATGTCCCTTTAGGAATGGTTTCTAATTATTTGATTATTATTCTAGAAAATATCTTAATAATTAAATTCTTTCTATTTATAAGGCAACTCGGATCTGACCGAGCAATTGAATGTTTAAAACGTCTTACATTTGATCAAATTCCAGATGAAAGTGTTGCCGGTATTTGGTGGAATATGATTACGCAAAAATGTCTTACAGCGAATGGTGTCAAAGTCAGATGGAGAGAAGGTTATTAGTCTAGATATATCAATTTAATTGATGTCACATTTTCTTGGTGTTATGCTCTTTTATTTATTATATTATTTTGTAGATACCGGGCAGATATATATACAACTTACGCATATATCACCACTCGTTCAATTTGCAACCGTAGTTGAATATTTTGCTCATTTAATGAAACATCTTTGTAGTTTGAATATGGACAGTACGGAAGATATACCATTTGCAAATACAAGGTCACGTTTGACGATGCAAATACTTGCAAGGGAAGCAAGGCAAATGGTGAAACATGAGGATTGGACAATTAATAAACGAGATGATGAAATGAAACAACGAGTAAAAGATGCTACTACGTATTTGATGCGTAGAATGCAAAATTTCGAACGAAATGACCCTTCTGTTATGGAAGAAAATGAGAAAGACGAATCAACACCAATTGCTATGGTTGAAAGGAAGAATGAAGAAGAAATTTGGTATAATGATGAAGTAGTTGTGAAAATACTGTGGAGTAATATTGAAGGGGAGTATTAATAATATTTACAGCGATCCTTCATTTTAAAATACAGGTAAGTCAAGGGGATTAAGGTAGGAAAATTTATTTGATTGTTTTATTAAATTGTACATTTATTAATGATTTATAGGAATAAAATAATCTCAATTATTTTTCCTTTAATAAACCCGAAAGAACTATTTACAAAATGATAAATTTTTTTATTAATTAATTCATGTAAATTTTTACATTATTATTATTTTAATTAATTATGTCTAAAAAATTTCATTCCTAACCAATTAAAGAATATCGCATATATTGTTACTGGTAATGTGAGTGGAACTAAAAGGCAATAATATTCATCCTTCTTAATCCAATCAAGCGTCTAAATAAAAAAGAAGTTAAATATTTTAATTCTTTTAAACAAGAATCGAAATTAAATTTACCTTGTTTCCGGTTTCAGGAACAAACTTACTAACAACGATAGCATACATACTGAATACAAAAATAAAATAAGTGGAAAATAAAAGAATCCAACCCCATAAAGCAGTAGTATCAGGTTCAAATTGAGAAATATGCCGAGTTGAATTTCTAGTATAAGTAGGTGTATGAAATTGTCTTTCTCTATTACTGAAGTTTGGTAGAGAAGGGGATCGTTGAAGATATTCATTTTTATCCTGAATGGAAGAATGCTTTGAAGAGGAATTTGGTAGGTGTGAATTGTGCAATGTGCCATGTGAAGACATTTTTTTTTTGCGGGGAAAAATTGTGAGCGCGTCCTCATTCAAAAATATATCACGCCAATCATTACCTGAACCAAACAGGATTTACAACTTATTAAAATAAATCACATTTTTTTTAACCTGATAGAAATGAAAACATATTCGTTTGGACCACATCTCATTCGATCAAGTCAAGTATTTTTTCTTTCCAAGAAATGTTTTGGATTTGTCAATTTAAAACCAGTTGCAAAGTAAGTAACTATAAAAACATTAATTCGATAAATTTTTTTTATTTTTATTGATCTATCCTCAAAATAAATAGCGGTCGTATCCTTTTTTTTTTATTAACAAATTTCGTGTATATATGCTTGTAAATTCTTTACATTCAAATAAATAAATATTAAGACGTGTTGTTAGCACCAATTCGCGTAGTTCAAAGATACCGTGATTTGAATCCCGATGAAGTAAGAATTCTAGAATGATTGATATATATTTTTATTTTATTTTTTATATTTTACCCTTTTTTTATTTTTAGGTGACCGATTTATTTTTGAATGCACAAAAAATTGGTCAAGTTGTCGAAAGAGAATATCAAGGGACTTCATTAACTTTAACAATTCAGGCAAGTAAAAAAATCATAATTTATATCTTGTATTTATATGTATTTATTAAATTACCAAAATCGATAATACAGGATGGACCCGAAGCTGGACAAACAGTACGTTTGGTTTGTTTAAAAGCTTACTTTTATACTATACTTAAATAAATTAATAAATATTATTAGGTACCTCATTGTCATTTACATATAATCCCAAGAAAAGTAGGAGATTGGGCGAACAATGATGACATTTATGAAGACATTGATAAATCTACTAGAGTTGATAATGAAGAGAGACCTCCGAGAAGTTTTGAAGAAATGGAAAAGGAAGCTAATTTCTTGAGATCGTTTTTTCAATCTGATGATATTAATTATAACTAAATATATTTCCTTGGGGGTGATTATACGCTCATTGAAACCTTAAAATTTGAAATGAACTATCTATGTCCCTAATTGTAATAGTTTAACAAGAATTAACAATCAATCCAGGTCCATTTCTTTTTTGAAAGATTATTTTCCTCATCCATGATTTCCACACCAATTTCGTGTTTTTTTTCATGTTGTTTAACAACTTTTACGATCTTGGTAACAACTTTCTTAGTGCTAGTACACAATTTCATTTTAATATTCCAAGGGAAAATTTCAAAAGGAGGAATTTTTAATTTTAATTTAATATTTAAAACATCGCCTTGGATAGAAACTTCTTGATCATATTTTTGTAACAAAGGTTCGGTTATTAAGGCGCTACGTAACTGATAAATAATATATGGAGAAACCAAATTATAAAATAATTTATTTGCGCATCGAAGATTAAAATGTAAATCTTGTAGTTTACAGTGAATGAAGATGAAGTCGTAAAGTTCCGGTGGTAACGTTGCAAACGTCGGTTTAGGTTTTGGTTTCGATGTTAATGTTTGTGTTGGCGTTGAAAGTAATAAATAAGAGGCAGGTTGTTCCGTAACTTGGGTTTGAGGAATATTTGAAGTCATCTTGACAACAGTAGTTCTCAATATGTCAAAATTTTATTTATTTATTGTATAGTATTTATTTAGTTTTTATTTAGTCGTACATGCACATGCGCCTTTAAAAATGCAATCTTTATTGGTTAAAATTTTCTAAATTGGTTTTTATTAAAATCGTCAAATTAAGTAATGTTAAACAAGCAACATTTTTTTATTCCCTGTTTTGCAATTTACTTTGGCTAAAATACATGTATTTCCCACCTAATAAAGAAAAAAATTTTTTTCACAAGCCCAATTTTTCCAAATCTTTCAACATATGTTCAGGACCACTAACTTTATAACTAAGAGGACCGGGTTCTTCAATATTCAAGACTTTGATGACACCATCGTCTACATACATTGAAAAACGTTGTCCACGTGTACCAATCAAAGGGATGTTTTGGAGAAGACCAAAATATTTATGGAATGACATTTCTGCATCTCCTAACATGAGGATTTCGGTGCTATTTTTAAAAGTTGATGCCCATTCACGTAGAACATAAGGATCTAATGATTTTAAAAAAAAAAAAAATTTTTTATTTTTTGATATTAAAAAAATATTGATTGAGCGAATATTGAGATGAGTCTAACCGTTAACTGCGGTGCACGCGATGGTATCAACACCCTTATCTTTCAATGCCTTTGATTTATCAATGAATTGTGGCAAGTGCTTTGAACTGCACACAGAGGTGAAAGCGCCTAATTTTTAAAATGAAATCGTTAAAAAATAAAAATATATATATATATATCCCAATGTTTAAACAATTTTAAATGAACATCGTGTTATATATACCAGGAATTCCAAAGATAACCACTTTCTTTCCCTTGAAAATTTGGTCAGAAGTAACTTCATGTGGAATATTTTCTCCCTGGTTTAATTCACTAAAATATAAATTGTTGGGAACTTTATCGTTAAGTTTGACTCTTGGAGTAGTAGACATTTTTGGTTTTTTTCTTTTTTAATTATTTTGGTATTGAAAATTTTAGAATGACTGATAATGACAAAAAAAATAGCGAGATTTATATAAAAAAAAAATGATGAGACATTTAACGTCATCTTTTTATCATTTATACGAAATATTTACTTCACTAATTTTGTTAATTCAATACAACGTATAGTTGGACCATATTTGAATTAGTTAAATGCTTAATTTCGAACGAGACGGGAGAGTTTGAAAATCATCAGATTATGACCTATTTAATTATAATGATGATTTCTAGGTTGAGTTAGACCAATCCTATTAATTCCAATGACCAAACCCTTAAAAGAAAAGAATTGCGAAAGCAATTTTTTGATGTATGGCTTAGATAAAGCTACTTCTAAATAATTCGGTTTCAAATATTTAGGTATTTGATTATTCCTAGATCTTGTAATAATATCCCATAGAAGGCAAGAAATTTGATTGAATAAAATGTATAAATATTGAAACGTTTAATTTTAACATGATCGGAGAAGATTTCTAATTAAGGAAATCACCGAATTTTATGATTTACATTTATTTCGATTCGATTATAACGGTAGCTTTTATTAGAAGTTTTCCGGTCCCAAAATATAATGTTTAACGTTTAATTCTGTATCAATAGTAATAATGAAAACAAAGGTTTCACCCTATTGATTTGTAATCAAAAAAAAATTTTTTTTTTTGATCTTATCACAGAATACTTAAATAAAATAGAAATTTTTATTTTTTTACAATGAATTATTTTCATTCAGAAATTAAATCATAATTAAAATTAGTAATCAATAAAATTTGATTTTTTCGTCCCAAAATAATAATAGAAAAGATTACATAACGTTTATTGTTATGCGTCGAGATCAATTTCTAATAATGGTAACATTTTAAAGATTTAATTAAGATTTCTCGCTGAATCAAAGAAAATTTTAAAACCTATGCCAATAATTAAATTTAAAGTAAATAATAGTTGATGCAGTTATTGATTCTATATGTGTTTCCTAACGGTGTATGACCAAACAAAATCCCATCCCGGTCAGAAAGAAGTTATGAAGATACGCGTCCATTACACACAAATGAAATGCAAATTTTCTGAATCCCCTCAGTAATATTTCTTTAAGATTTAGCTTGACTTTCAAAATTTGTAAAATTTTCAGAAGAAAATTTTTCACAAACGACGAGATCATTTCAAACAGTAACTAGTCTTTTGACTATTGTGTCACAACCAGGTGCTATTTGTATAAGTATAGTACTGTACATATCCCGAAGAAAATTTTATTGATAGCCCAATAATGATTTTAGAAGATTATGAAGTATTTCGGGCAAGAGATGTTATTTAAAATTTTTTTTGATTAGAAGAAATCTATTTTCTCTGATCCTCAAAATCTATTTCTTATTTAATAAAAAAACCCCGTGTGAAATTAAATGCGTTGGTTCGATTTGTTGCGCACAGACTTTTGACAAACTTTTTATCACGAGACATGATAAAAAGGACAAAGGACGGTTTGCTTAGTTTCCAAAAAATGTTTAACTCACACTTTGGTTTTTCAACAAGTAAGTGAAGAAATAATGTATTATATCTTTTTTTTGTGAAAGTGGAAGTGTTTCGTGGTGTAGTATAGTTGAACTTGCGAAGACGACGTTTCGACCTCGTGGACTACCGCTTCTGGAGCAGGATTCGGTTATGTACCTACTTCGTAAATGAAATGAAGTCTTGGGATCCTATACTATTGCGTCTACACTTCACACTACCTTTTTACCTTTATGCATTCTACTTCTATGTACTCTATGCATCTGTACTTCTATGCACTTATATTTTAATACTTTATGCATTTTACTTTTTATTTTACTTTTATATTTATGCTCCAAACATATTTCTTACTCTTACATTTTTGCTTTCAGAAAAAAAAAAAAAATAGGAAAATCTTGTTGCCTCCCAAAAAGACAATTTTTCATCGGAAGTATTTGCTTGGAGTCAAATAACAAAGAACTAATAAACTGCGTTTCTAGCATTTTGAGATTGAGCTTCTATTCATATTTTTAACGCGTAAGTCATTTTTTTTTAACAATGGCTAAAGTTCCTGCTATATCAATCTTCATTTAAAACTGAGGAAACAAAATTTGACGTCTTTTTTTATTTTAACGATATCTGAATAGTGAACCTCCGCACTCAATCTACGGTGAAATCCGGATTTTCAAAACCTCTCAAATGGTTTATAGCACAAAAATTGAAATATTTCAACGAAATTATTGTAATAAATCTGATGTAATAAATTACAAGGCGCGTCAACGAAAAAAACCCCCCAGTATTTAATAAAGGATGTGCTTCCAAAATAGGAATTCAGATTTTTTAAATCTTATTTTATTATATTTTTTATAACATTAATTGTTGAATGAAAATCCATACCACTTAAGAGATAATCTTGACATTATTATTATTTTTTTTTTATTTAAAACGCGTATAAAGTTTTCGAGTTTATAATATTAATACTAAATTTTTAATAGATTCATTAAAAAAATATATAATTCGTTATTTTTAAATCTACCTAGAATATATCACATTGTATCACAACAAACTATGCCGAAGATCGTTACTTTTGATTTCAAAATAAGTTCGATGTAGAAATCCGCTGCCAAATGTGTTCATGAATGGAATGGAAATATTTATTATAATTGTTCTGAAAAATAGTTTTATAGCAATCCTCCATTTGAACAACAAACTTTAATACTATGACGAGCGTCTCATTGCTTATTAATCCTGTTTCGTTAACGGTGGATGAACAATATACTAGTGAGCTAGAAGGATATGTAAGAAATTCCTTTCTTACGTTATATCTCTTCTGTAGTCACATTATTAATGTCGCTTCTTACAGCTTACCGAAGATGATTTTTATGCGCGCATTGCCCTAATCAACGAAACTACAAAATTCTACATAAGCGAACACAGACGTTGGCAAAATAAAAAGTTTATTATTAGATGCATTGTTTTAATGATTATAATTTTTATAATGATCAACTCGGAACTTTTTAACTTGGTATTTGTTGGTTTTGTAATTTTAATTTCCATTTGTTGCATATCGTGCACAGAAACCGAAGAAATTCCGGAAAGTTCAGTAGGTTGAAAGGGATTGATGATGTGTTATATTCAACAATTTCCAAATTTAAATATCCTGAAAATATCTTTTTCATATAGGAACTTACGCTTATCTCGGAGTTGGCAAATAAATTTAACTCTATAGATAATCAAAAAGGTATCAATTGGCGATATACTCTTGAAATCTCGAGCACATATGATTCCAATTCTTATACTCATGTAATACGAATTTGAATTTAATCTTTAATCTTTCAAATAATTGGATGCGATGCTTTTTAAATGACATATTATAAGACTTACCTTTTGTTTAAATAGAGCATCATTATCGAAATTGACCAACCAAGTGCTATTGGAGTCATTATCCATAATTATCAAGGCGAAACTTCAAATGAACAGAGAAGCATTAAGAATACTGATAGCAATGAATCAACACCACTTCTTTAAAAAAAAAAAATTTATTGAGATAGTGTTATTCACAGTTATTTTACAGAAGCTTTTTTTTAATGACTTTATTTCCCATATGGTTCAAAATTCTTGCTATTTCCTTAAAGCTTTTTACTGTAATTTATTTTTATCATATAACAAATAACGATCCATTCAATTTATGATGGAAAGTACTATGACGTGATACCGCATTTATATGTCGTACTTATCTCCTTTTTTGCAGCCACTGTATATCAATAGTAAATACTCTCATTTTCCCGCCAAAGTTATTTCATCAATACACTTGTTATTTTGATGGTATGTTTTCATAATTACATAACAGTATTGCGGCAGTAGTTATTTACAGCTCAATCGCCCGCCGTAACCTCTGTGATATGGCGATAGTGCGGTAAATAAGTTTTGATCTATCATTTCGAACTGATAAAAATTGGAATTTATTATTGATTTCTATATAATATATATAATATCAGTTGAACAGGACATGGCAAATGACCAGGTCATTTGACTAATTTTCAAATGACCTTGGTCATTGAGTCATGAGTCATTTGCAAATGACTTGAATTCTAAATGACAGCGAATCATCCACGGATA